TTTTGTAGAAGGTCAACGGATTGTTGTCCGTGTTCCATCTAAAACGCCGACGACCGAGAAGAAAGTGGCGCCACCGTTTGAGAACGGTGACGAACACGAGTAGCTCTTTCTTCCTAGCGTCGTCGAGAGTGTTGATGGGAGGCACTTTTTGGGAGAAGTACTCGACCGGGTGCCAACCATCCGTGTGGCATTGTTCCAATACCGCACCAATACCGTACCCGGAAGCATCCGTAGTCACTTGGGTGGGTAGGGTGGGATCATAGATACATAGGGCTGGTGGGTCTTGCATCGCCGCCTTCAACGTTACGGTATTGAACGCGCCACGAGCTGCATCATCGAACTCGAATGGTACCTTCGGGGACTGAAGTCTCGACAAAGGAGCTGCCACTTTGGAGTAGGACTCGACGAAACGCTTACAATATCCAGCCAAACCCATGAAAGAGCGTACGTCCGTCGTGCAACGGGGTTCCGGCCAATCCACGATGGCTTGGATCTTGTCCGCTAAGGGACAAATGCCTTTTGGCGTCACATAATGGCCCAAGTACTCAAGCTCTTACTTGGCGAATTCGCACTTGTTGCGGTTTGCTTTGTAGTTGGCTGCTCGCAAACGTTCCAACACCACACGGAGGTGTGCGAGGTGCTCGCCAAGCGTCCTGCTATGGACCAAGATATCATCGAGGTAGATGAGGACGGAAAGATCAAGCAAGTCTCGGAACTCCGTTGTCATGGCTGCTTGGAAAGTTGTCGGGGCATTGGTGAGTCCAAGTGGCATCACGGCCCACTCAAAATGCCCGTACCGCGTTTTGAAGGCGGTCTTGTACCGATCTTGAGGCTGGATTTCCATCTGGTGGTAACCCGACTTCAAGTCCAACTTCGAGAAGTACGTCGCGCCGCCCAACCGCTCGAGGAGATCATCAATCCGAGGGAGAGGGCCGACGTTCTTAACGGTTTGTGCGTTAAGTTTTCGATAGTCAATGCACAGCCGTAGGTCCTTGTTCTTCKTCCGGACGAAGAGAACTGGCGCACCGTATGGCGAACAACTAGGGCGAATCCATCCCTTGTCGAGAAGGTCATCGAGTTGTGCGCGAAGCACCTCAAGTTCCTCTTCGCTCATGCGGTAAATGCATCCACGCGGAGGGGCGACACCAGCCTCGAGAGTGATCCCGTGACGTATGGGCCGATCCGGAACCGTTCCGGTGGGAGCCTCAAAGACGTCTTAATACCTGTCCAAGAGGTGAGTAATGCGTGGGTCCGGCGGTGACGCGGCTGGTCCGTCCGGCAAGGGGAGAGCATGTAAAAACACAAGACCCATCTCCTCTACGGCGTTTCGAGCTATAGCGTCGCGAATTCTCACAACGGAAACCACGTGACAAGCAATCGAAGTATGAGGGGTCGCGACCGTACATGGGACTAACACTCCGTTCCGATCACGGACGTGAACGGTTCGGTCATGAAAGTTCACCGTATGATCGGCGCTACGCAACCAAGACATGCCTAAAATCATGTCAAACTTGGTGTCGAGGATGTCAAAAGACACCGGCTCGCACGCAAGGGGCGCAAAGTATACCGGGACGTCGTCAATGCATCGGTCAATCGACTTTTGCGTGCGGCCGTCCGCGAGTGTCACTTGCGTAGGTTGCGTCTTCCTTCGAACGCGCGGGCCAAGGCCTACGCGGGCCATAAAGGCTTGGCTCATGAAATTGCGAGATGCTCCGCAATCAATCAAGGTACTGCAAGTTGCCTTTCCGATTTGAATGCGGATATAGAGCAAAGGCGCGTCGGGCTCGGCATACCTTTGGGTAGCATACTCGCGGTCAATCTTCGCAAGATAGGAGCGGAGATCGACAACCGCTACTCCGTCGTCCGTCAACGGAGCTGGTATTGCAGCGTGCAAGTGGGAGCGTAAATTTGCCATCAAGGCGTTACAATGCGGCCTTGGCAAGGTTTCGGTTGAGGGTAGAGGCATCCAAGCGAAGTCCTCTCTCGTGAGCGGGTCAAGCTCCTCAAGTCTTGACCACGCCGTCGAGTCCTCGAAAATCAGTGGCGAGCTGACCGGTTCACTTGCCGACGGTGTACAGGCTGCGCATACGCTGTCTAAGTGCACGTGGCTAGTCTGGTCTAAAGGTGGTACCAGTTGGGCGACATAATCCTCGTACGTAGTACGAGAATCAGCGACTAACGCATGCTCCCCAGTAGTGATATCGGTTGCTAGCAAGGCAACCGGTTCCGGCGGAGTGAGGAGAGGCGTTGCCCCTCTCCTTGCGTAACTCAGTTTCCCGAGTTAGCTGGACGGGGTACGCGTGCCTTGCCCTTGTCCTAGCATTGTGCGGTAGTGTGGTTGACACTATTGCACCATAGGCAATATCCGTACCGTCGACGCAGGTCAAATACTTCCTTGGTTATGTTATATGCCGTCCATGGTTGCTGCCCAGTTCCCGTCGATGTCGTCGCTTGTGTCGCCTTGTTCTTCCGAACTCTCTTGGGACGCTTCGGCGGGAGCGCTGCGACAACTCCTCCATCACTCGAGGATGCTGCTGCAGCGTGGAGATCGACTGATTCGTCAGAAATCACGACATTGTTATGTGTCGGTCGTTGATAGCCCTGCTTAGCCACATAGTGCGGCTGGGACTGCCGTTCGTTAGCGGCCTTGTCATCCGTTTGGATGACCAGGTTCGCACGATCCAGAATAGCCTGGAATGAGGCATAGTCGTACTCGATGCCGAGTGCCGACCCGCAGTCCTGCGCACGATCGCGAAAAAAATTCGGATCGTTGATTTGGAAAACTCGAAGTCGAAGCCTGGAGTGGTTACTACCTTCTGCCACTTGATCGTCCAGTCTCGAGTTGACATGCTTCCCTGTGAGCTGGTGTAGACCTCGTTCATGGCCGCCTTTACAACGTTGCGGACCATGAATTGAGTGAACCACAGTTGCTCGAACTCCTTCCACGGAATATGTGTGTGGAGTTCGGCGATGGTGCATTTCCGATTGGCCGCGATATGGTTCATCCATGCCTGTGCTCCTTCAATAAGTTGGAGGTAGAGCGACAGGATGCTTCCGTGAGGAAACCTTGCCACCATGTCAAGGCGTCCGTCTTGTTGTAGTCGTCAAACTTGCTGATGTTGAAGTGCGGCATCTTGTATGTCTTTGGAGCGGCGTCCGGTCTTGTCTGCAGTTTGGTGATGTCCGTCTTGATGGCGGTCACCGTGCTGCTGATCGTGGCCGGACTGGTGAAATCACCTAGTTCGTCGATAATAGTGACGACGTGGTCGATGCGCTCCCCGAGCTGCTTTGCCGTGTCTGTCGTGCAGCCTGGCGCTGCTGAGGCCTTAGCCTCGATGCTGTTGATGCGTGCGAGAGTGGAGTTCAACAGCTGTTGCTGTTGCTGCTGCTGTGTTGCTGCGGCGCGGACGGTAGTTGTTAAAGCGACAGTGTCTTGCTGCTGCTTCTGTCTGTGCTTTCGTTCTGTGAGCAGGTGTGCCTGCAGCAGTGTGTTATTCCATATTACTCCCCTCATCATGCCCAACATCAAGTTAGCCAGAGTACTCCTTTCTGCCTCCGCCGGTGTCAGATCTGCCTGTGTATCCGAAGGCACAAAGATCATGCCTTGGAGTAGCATTGTCCACTGATTCTCATTTTGAATCAGGGACTCAGTGCTGGCGGCATTCCGTCTGTCTCGAGCCGCTGCGTCAGCCTCAGCAGTTCGCTGAGCTTGGGCTGATGCCTCATTGGCCAGCCGCTGACGTTCTGCCTCTGCTGCCTCCTGCTGTGCCTTAGCGTTAGCAACGGCATTCGTAAATGCCTGTACCCGCTGAAGGTAATCAGACAACTGCTCGTGAGCCCCTTGGACCGGACATGCAGGAATAGCCCCGGTGGTGACCGGTACTGCAGTTGCTGTACTCGATGCCGCTGGAGTCGTCCGCCTGCTGAGTCGCTGTTGCTGAAACTTAGTTCGCGGAGGTACCACAGAGCGGCTACGAACTGCAAGCCTGGCACTGCATCGTGGCAGTGCCCCGGTGTCCTGTTCCATCGACATCGGCCTGAGCTGATGTGGTACTTGAGAAGTCCTGGTGGTCACAGAGTACGGGGGCAGGGAGGGTGGGGTAGAACAAATCAAGCAATTCACATACAGTCCCTGTCCCAAGTGTGGACTAGACACCTAATAAAAAAGATGAACTTTTTCCCAAAAACAATTTAAAAATTCGTAATAAGAAATAATAACGAATTAATAATCAATAAAATTTTAATTAATGATTAATAACGAATTAATAATTTCTTAATAATAATCATTAAAATTAATCAATAATGGCAATAACTATAATTAACGAATTTTAAATTGTGAAAAGATTAGGTATCCGTTGAGATCACCTATGGTCCGGGAGTTCACCGTTTATTAGTGAACTACCCGGAAGTTGCAGTTCTGAGGGAACGATTCCGAACAGTTTGCCAATTTTTTTTTTTCCGGATAGTTAGGAAGAAAAACATTCGAATGTTCGAAATACGTAAAATTTCGGGAATTTCCACCTGCCAAAGTCCGATTTTCAAAAGGCCTGAGTCCGTATTCGGAATTCCTCAAATTAGGGAACGAAAAACAAATTCACGAAAAATTCGGATTCCAAACCCTAATTTTCCGCGATTCCGCGGAATTTCTGGTTTTACGGTTCCAAAACATTCGAATTTCCCAAATTGAACGAAAAACCGAAATTTTATCGTAACCCTAATTCCAGTACCGAAATAAAACAGAAAACCGATTTAAAAACCGAAATACCAGATTAAAAACAGAATGCCGAATTAAAACGGAAACCGAGTTGAAATCAGAATGCCGAATTAAAACAGAATACTGATTTAAACAGAATAACGAATTAGAATCAGAAGTCCGAATTAAAACAGAATAGCGAAAAAAATTTGCAACTTTGAATCTCGATAGTGATGCAGAACTGATTTGGAAGATCGAATAAGCAATCTATTCCCTAATCAGACTTACCTTGTGAGCAGATCCATTATTTGGTCTGCTCCGATACCAAAACTGTTGCATACTCACGAATACTTCAACAAGTATGGGCAGAACCAAAGATCAACCAATGTAGGATGAGCATGTATGCAGCGGAAGTCTGATAAATGGACTGACTCTCATAGACTGAACCCATACAGATATCACTCAACACACAAACAATCGTGAGATGGTGGGGTCTGAGCCAATCATAGACGATGCTCAGGCCCCGTACAACCATACACAGATGAGAGGTGGGAGAAGAGACGAAGGAGGTAGGAGATGTAGGCAGCGCCAGATGTCACCGAGATAGAATCCAGTAGGTCACCGATATGGTAGTCCAAAATGTCATCGAACAAGATCAAAATGTCGTGGACAATAAGTCGCCAATGTCGGAGGTACAGAGTCCTAATGTAACCGGTGTCCAATCGGTGATGCCGCTGAGTATCACCCCCAACAATCTCCAAGTCTCGAATCCGGTAAGTATCACAGCCTCTTACCACCGAAGTCCAACACTGATCTCTGTCCAACTAGTATCAAGTCTCCAATCTGAAGAAGAAGAAGAACTCTGAAGAAGAAGAAGAAGAGTCTGAAGAAGAAGAAGAAGAGTCTGAAGAAGAAGAAGAGGAAGAAGAGATGGCAGAGGAGGAGGAAGAGGTGAGGAGGAGGGGAGCCGGTGACTGTGGAGGGAGGAGAAAGATCCTCGCCTCCGAGTACCTGGCTCGCTGCAACCGACTGCAGGTCGAAGTCGGCGATGGCCGCTGAGCTGCCGATAGGATGCTGCCTGGCTCCTTACTTGCTGCTGCGCTACCTCCGAGCTGCGCTAAGAATAGCGCAGCGTTAACGCTCCTCTGAACCGAAACGGACTGGCGCTCACTCAGCGTTCCAGTCGCTCGATAGCCTCCAAGTGAGGCCGGCCGGTCTCTAAGCACCGGTAGGGCAAAGGCCGGCCTCAATGCTGCGAGGCCTGGCCGTGACCTGAACCATCAAGATCGATGGTTCAGATCAGACCGGCGGGCGGCAGCCTCAAGAGCGCCGCCAGGCCCAAACGGTAATGTTGTTTGGGCCTGCCCGTCAGGTCTGGTCCAAAATGTGGCCTTTACGGCCTGCTGTACCCAAAGTTCGGGCCTTTAGGCCCTACTGTGTCCCCTTGGCCCTATGTTGGGTCTGGTAGGACACGTGTGGCGTCGAAGATGTAACAACCGGCCACTTTCCATATACTAGGCGATGGGCTGGAGATTGGGGCAACTGGAGGTGCAAGCGGCAGCGCTGCTGGGGCGAGGGCTCGTGGCTGCATGCTTAGTGCAGAGCGCGCGCGGGCGTTCTAGTTGAGGGCGCTGCAAGAAGGCAGCGCCATAGTTGGGCCCTTATAGCTGGGCACCAGCTTGGATAGCCAGCGGTGATGGTCGTGGTCTTCGTGTAGGGGATGTAAAACGTGGGTGAGAGAGAGAGAGAGAGAGAGAGAGAGAGAGAGAGAGAGAGAGAGAGAGAGAGAGAGAGAGAGAGAGAGAGAGAGAGAGAGATGAGGTTCAACTTGATGATGTGAGGGCACATACCTGGTCTTGGCGATGGTCTACAAGGTCGACATCTTCATGCACTTCGGTTGTTGCTGCTGATGTCAACGGGATGCATTGTCAATTCGTAGGCTGCTAGTAGCTGTGTAGTAGTAGCCTGGGTGCTGAGCGCCAAGTAGGTGGATGTGCTCTGGATACATGTGTTGGTGATGCCGAAAATATGCTCTCATGGACATTTGGATTCGGTGCTTTGGTTCTCCGTTGGTGAATATCAGTGCATTTCTGCTTTCTGGACAGCGTTGGACTTTCTGGTTTTCAATGTGAATTTGCATTCTGGATTTCTGTCATTTCGCTACCGCTCATTTTCCTTGCATTATGATTATTATTATTATTAATTAATAATAAACTGTAATAATATTATTATTCCTTTTGTGCAGACAAAGGAGATCAACGGCGAGATTCCACTAGCAAGGAGGATTGAATTAATGCCTGAATGTGGATGTGTTTTATGCCGAGATGCAGAAAAGCAGATCAATGGCGATTCGTCACCTCTCTGCAAACACGTCCAGATTCAGGCGTTAAATCCAATCCTCTATGCGAGTGGCACCTCAACCCAGGAGGATAGAGGATGAAGCTGGTGAATGTCAGAGTTAGGGCCTCTTCACCGTTCCATCAGTACCCGCTAAGGGTAGAAGGGGACGATAGGTAGTGTATCTTGATCGACAGAGAACGTGGGAAGACACATTAAACCCTCGGCGTTTTAAAATTTCACAGTCGCTGAACGAGACACATAGCCCAAGCCGCAAACATGCCATCCTGGTTGTGCTAAGTTCCCCCTGAATCTGGTCCACAAAGAAATTCATACTCACCTTGCCCATTTGAAAGTAAGCACCTGTTCGGCCTGCCCTGCATGATTGTATGTATGTATGTATGACATACATACATACATACATACATACATACATACATACATACAAAAAAAAAAAAAAAAACAGTACATTTATAGAATCGTACCGTGTGTAAGTCCACGGGAGTGATTAAGTGAACAATCGTGTGGGTACGTTATGGAGGCATATCTGTATACTCCCCTTTGGGGACAATGTGCAGGGCAAAGGATTACATATTGCAATAGAACGTGAATTGTTAATATTCTTGATCAGTGATTAAGTGGGTGGACTTGTCGGTGTTCCGGATACTCATAAGTTTAAACCACCAGTTGACATAAACCTAAGTAGTGCTCTTACCGGTTTACGGGGTAAGAGCATTTCAATTCGGGCCCGGGGCGCAGGCCACTTGAAAAAGAGGCGCAGTTGCAGGCTCGGAAGAGAGGTGCAGTTGCAGGCTCAGAAGCCTTGGAAGGTGGCTTCGTCAACTTAAAAAGATCGTGCGAGGATCTGGGTCTTCGGCAGGCCTAAGGGGCCTCCTGCTGCAGATGTGCCCTCCCTAAGTGAAGGTGGGCCTAACAAATCATGAGAGGCCCTAAGCTGTCAATTTCATATTTGGGGTTCAGGCAGTTTCGTCGCGCCAGTTGGTTGAGTGAAACACTGGCCGAGCAGCGAGACATTCCAAGGCCTTCCAGGCCTTTCCCAAAAAATGCAGGCCCTGGACGAGAATCGCAGACTCATACACAGACAGCTGGGAGGCCCAACCGAATGAGGCCCAGTAGCTGCAACAGAGGCGCAGCATCCTGGGGCCTACCGGAAGCTTCTGGGCCCAGGCCCAGGCCAGCCAGGTCTTTCCATATAGGAAAGAGCTCGCTGCCTGGGCTGCTGCTGGCGCTGAGAGGCAAGGTGCTAGTGCGTGCGGTCGTGCAGGGAGCAGGGTGCTGGTGAGGGCAGCGCCATAGCCCAGCCTCCATATCTGGTTGGGCTTGGACTACAGTGAGGCGCAGGGGTGGTCTTCGGGTGTACAGAGGGAAGACGTGGGAGTAAGTCAGGGGAGAGAGAGAAGGATGA